TCATCCATAATCCGAATGACTCTGGCCACATTAATTGTTCCGGGCGTAATGCAGAGGGGCGTATACTTCAATAACATGTTATCGGAGGATGACGAGGCGTTATTTTTCCAGTTGTGAAGAGTATGTGAGTGTCGTGTTTATGAACAAGGATCCCCAGGGTCGTCATTCCACCCGATGATTGATTTCACACACTCTAAAGGTATTATGTCATTATTTTCTAAATCGCAGGCTCACACTGGACGCTATTTCAGAGTGTCAGAAGGCCCAAGAAGTTATGTTGGAATCCTGGGTGTTGCGCAGGGTAGACTCCAGGCTGGTAAAGCCAGATGTAAGGGAATTGTTATTCTATGGCTCCTACAGAGCTCATATTTATACTACTTCGCACTAGAATCTAGAATGTACTACAACTTTCTACGACTCTCGTGCTTACTCATCGACTCTCGGCATGATGCCGGATTGCTCCTTCTAAAACTTTCCAGCAAAATCCCAACAAGTTATAAAAAGAGTGGGCGGTAAACTTGGGATGTAGGTCGCATGACTGAATGGTGCATGTCATGTTTACGGTTTGATCAGGAAACCTGATCTCTTATCGATCCATCTCTTGGAGTCGCTTCCATACCATCCTGAACCTCTGTTAGTTTTGGAATCTTCCTCATCATACGCACACCCAGTATCTGTTATCCTTCAAGTTCTTTCCTTGCCAGCTCCATATACTTGAGAAAAAGCAAATAACGCCGTCTCTGTGGAGCAAGTCCGAATTCAGTCTCCGGTGAGCCTCGACACCTTTATATTCCAATGTCTATCTTATTCAGACTCACAGAGATGTCACTATCTCGGTCATGTTCTCCCAGTACACGCGCCATCCACACGCCCTCAGGCAGCCCATTAAGATGCCCTGAATGCAGATCTGTGTTGCCAGGGAAAAGCATTGCTCCTGCTCTCCTTTCATCGCGTCTCAAGGAGCTCTCATCATGCAACGATGTCCCTCTGGACTCAGAACGTACAGCGCTTGAAGCCGTTGTCCGTGAGGGCGAATCCAACCTATCTTCCCTACCCCAGCGCATCGCAGCTGTCAGAGAAACGCTGAAAATTCTCCTCAAAGAACAGACCCGCACCGTAAAGCATATCACGAATGCCAAAACTCTTCTCAATCCCGTTCGCAGACTACCAGCAGATGTACTGATCGAAATATTCACCGCGTGTCTCCCCGAGCATATGGATTCGCTTGATGCTAAAAGCGCACCGTGGATACTTTCCCAGGTCTGTGCGTCTTGGAGACAGATCGCCTTAGAATCCGCGAGATTGTGGGCACATATTCAGTTGGAAATGGATTCCTACACGAATCACACAGGATGTGTATTCCGCTTAGGGACAGTATTGCACAGAGCGGGGATGCACCCCCTTAGAATCAGAATCATGGGTCGTCGTGACTTCTCAGATCACCCTGTTTTTGCGATGATTCTGTCCACATCGTTACGATGGACGTTTCTGAATATCATCGCTCCGCTCCGCGCTTTCCGCTTGTTCAATAGCATATCACATTGTTTGCCTCTCTTGGTATCTTTGGATATCAAGGTTCTCAGTGTCCGCCAGTCAGAGATACAACCCGGATCTGCTGGTGGCATTTTTGGCTTCCGCCAAGCACCCCGTCTCCAGGAGTTGACACTCACACAAACACTCGTATCGGACGGTTCCTTTTTTTCGCACCTGTTTGCTCTACCATCAACAAGAATATCACTGCTGAACATGGTTACTACGACCTCTGATGTTGTATCTCTCCTCCGATCTGACAGAGCGGAACATGTAACAAGTTGTGCCTTTACGTTGCCCGATTCGGAGCGTCATATCCCACCACAAGTTCCAGTGATCAGACGCGATTGTATTAAGTGTCTCATCGTCCTCGATCTCTCTCCTGGGCTTTTGTCCAGACTCCACCTACCGGCTCTTCAGAGATTGATACTTATCTTCTCTAAAAGGCCCATCCTCACTATGTCTGAGCACACGGCACCCAATTTGACAGAGTTGACGATAGTCTCTGATCACCCTGTTGATGGACGTGCATTGGCCATTATGCTGCAGTGGACTCCAAATCTGATATCAATGACACTTGAAACCATCTTAAAGACCGAAACTCTCTTCATCGCCCTTGGCATATCCACAGATGGTGTTTTCGAGTTGGTTCCACGCCTGAAAATGATCTCCCTCGAAGGCACTCAGTTGAAATTCTCTGACTACGGTCGTGTTATTACTGATATGGTTGAAGCCCGACGTGCTATTTCATCCGGCAAAGAACGAGCAGCACTGAAGGAAGTCCGTTTGAAAAACGAGCTTGGAGACCCTGAGTGTTGGGAGAAACTGCGCAAGGGAGGTCTAAAAGTACGTTATGCCGCTCGAATGTAGAGAATCGGACCAGAACCATGGTAGTGTTGTCTTTCTCCCTCTATTTCTACTTCTTTTCGTTCTGTTATCTGTCTTGTGCCAACGAAGATGTCCTGTCTTCCAACCCTGTATTATATGTTAGGAAGTGTTATAAATACAGTTCACGATTAGAGGTCCTGGAGTCCATTATTCTGCGATCACAATACTTGGCTTAGCGTTGCCATGTTGCCTATCATTGTACATGAATGCTGAGCAGTGAGTCAGGGTCTTCGGAAAGTCACAAAAACGAATGAATACTTCGAGGATAAAATATGAGAGCCTTCACCAGCTGTTGTGGTTGCGCAACATCTGTAACCGTACCTTAAACGTATAGTCAAGGATGTTCACGGCTTCGGTTCGTACAATTACGGCCGTCACAGTCATTTATCCGGCCATATTCACTGTGGTCAAGTATTCTCCTATAAATAACACTAACACATTACCGAACACAGAATAGATTGCATGCCGTGTATTTCAAGAAGCTCCAAGTACGCCAGAAAGCGAAAAATCACCCATTTTGTGGAGCTAGTAAGATCTTAGGGGTTCTCGGAATGGCGTCGTACTGCACTAACAGCCTCAAGTCAGATCGTAAATATACTGGACAAACAGGGAAATAAAAAAACACCAGTGTGAATTTCCCTTATCCATGTAGAAGCAGAAGAGCATATACCGACCTCACTGAAACGCACATTTATCCCCTATAGCACTGCTACAAATTTAAGGCCGTCGGCGGTCCTAGTATATGGTATCATTTGGATCCCTCAAGATTTCGGTACGTACTTATGTACAATACAGTTACGGCACGCAGCACTACCAGGGTACCGTGTTTCGAATTTGACGTGCAACGGATACCCGTCGGAAGAGTAAACACAGGGATATTCGAAACCCGTAGAGTTGGAACAGCTATGCCATCCGCAAGAAAAGTAGGTCAACTCAACGGACGCGGGAGAACGCATCGTCGTCGTATCGGCTAGGTATTCCTATACCAACAGGGCTGAGTTCAAATTGTAGAAAACTATCGGGGTAATAATGTGTAAGGAGTCGGATATATGCAAGTGGATTTTTTCCGAACACAAGTTCGTTATTAATGTATAAGTTCGCTCGCATGCTCCCGCAAGCTTTACACAACTTTGCTGTTGGATAAGAATGAACCGTGATTTATATGTATCTCCGTCCCACCGCCCGGATACCTGATCATTAGTTGTGTATCATACCAATGCCAACTTTCAGAGAAAGAATGTGCACCTATGTCGTTCAGCAGGCAATACTGAGAACTCTTAAATTTCATTCTCACTGACCTCGATTTATTACTGCCCACTGTTAGGAATCTGCCGAAATCAGGATATGAGAGTGAGGGGCGACAAGTGATGATCGAAGCGAGGTAGGATATGTTATAGAGATGTATGTCGTTAGGGAATAGAATAGATTCCGGCAAGGGTTCGTGAGGAGACCTGAGAGGTCCAGTTTGCGAGGTAAAGGGGTCAGTAAGTGCGAAGCAGTTACTGTAGGAAGCAGCCGGTGAGCGCGGAGCTATTATGGGCTGTAGATGAAGACAAGCGCTAGGCGTAGTCTTCGGATTGTTGTCGGAAAGCGCTTGGCGTATCCAACGAGTTGTTCAGCAAGCGCTAGGCGTAACCGATCAGATGCTTAGTTCACACAATGAAGTGGACTTGAAGATGAGTAGCTTTATTCCTTCTTTTACAAGGTTACAGACGGTATTTATATACTAAAAGGCTCGAGTCATGAATATTCTACAATGTTCTATTATATTCTAGTATGAGCAAGAAGAATAGAGAAAGTAAAAGAAAATTATGTGTGAGTCACTGCTAGGACCGAGAAGGCCGAGTGTAGGCATGCGTTGACTCATGCACCGAGTTTACAGATACTCAAGATCCATGACACCCACCCACCTCCCTCCTAGGCTTAAAGTTTTTCCCTACTACCCATTTACTTCACGTACTTCTCGTGAAAACCACTTGCACCTATCCGAGTTTTTACATTCCATTACGCCCCGTAATGAAATTATTTCCACAGGGGCGAGACGGCTATCCATGTTGGGTCACTGCGCAGGCTTCCTTTCAACGCAGAACAAATGATAGGAAGTATTAGACACCAGCCGTCGCCATGAGTGAAAATATCAAGTACAGGTCTCGCCGCAAACGCAGTTATGAATCAATAAATATCACCAACAAAGGCGGTCTTTCGCCAGTACCATCCAGGAAAGAAGGGCTGGCTCCGCAAAACAGCACCATGGAAAGACGAGAGTCAAAGATAACTGGTCGAGGTCCCAACAAAGGTAGAAGTTAACGAACATGCACATGCCGTCGAGGTTAAGAAAGAGCAGGTGTCCCTCCCGATTGCCTGGCAGAATAGCATCGTGGCCGTAAGCACAATTTCAGCGGCTGTGATTCATGGCTGCTGGGGTTCAAGGTCCTTGTTTTGTTCGACGACTCGAGTTCTTTTTGCAGGGTCCACGTTCGGAGTGACTACGTCTGGGAATGGTGAAAGAGTGGGTTGTGGACCAAGGAAAGGGTCTTTAATCCCATCCTCGGTGTCTAGTCTCATGGTACGCCCTTGATGTCGGCGCTATGGTGTAGTGGCAGCACTTGGGATTTTGATGTGGCGCACCAACCGCATGAAGTTCTTCCCACAACCCAGGTTCGAACCCTGGTAGTGCCTCGTTAGTAGAGGACAAGATGTTCGTTGCCTTTTGGCCCTGTGGCCCGAGAGTTGAAACCGGTCCGGACTCGTCACTCCAAATCTAGACTTCAAGCCTCCCCTAGAGCCATAGGATACGCTTAGTTTTGCCGTTTCACTTTCATTCGGGAGTTGCTTGATGGGCTTTTTAGAAGTATCTTGCTTGTATGTACGTTCATTGTGTCAAGGGCCTGTTTTCGCTGTGTGCTAGGAACAGGGTTGCATGGTGTTCGGGGATACTATCACCTCAGATTTTACCGATAAACGTAATAAACCCACTAGCTTAAACCTGGAGAAGTAACACTGAATTATCGAATATCCACACACCGAGATCTTGCCTAAGAAAGTAAAGGTCCCAGGGATGAGATCAAGAAAGCTGCTGATCGTTTGGGTTTCTTCATAAGAGCGTGATCGAAACGAAGACATAGTCGCGCATGGACAGGTAACCACGTATAATTAAGGGTATTAGCGTCCTGGATTTACCAAGATTGGTCACTTGCTCTTCGTTGTCTTGTGTTAGCTTTGTGAAGACCAAGTGATAAGCCAGACAGACGTTTTCAGCAGGCGAGCCATAACAAGAAGCGGTTCCCGCCAATAGTTCAAGATTCCATAATGAGATGAAATACAAGCAAGGTAAAAGGCAATTGAATATGCTGATGCGCGGTAGCTACGAACGATGTGATGAATAAGTAAAAAAAAAAATTAATGAAACAAGAAAGCAAGATGCGAGCGAAAGCGAAAGATAATGCAAGTGAAGGTGAGAAGTTAATCTGAGAATAAATCCAGTCATAAAAATCATTAGTTAGTCCTCATTAAAACGGGAAGCGGAGATGGAGAATGACTCTAGGTCACTATCTGAGATATCTGTCTTCGTTCCCATACGCGTACGCTGGGGGTGGTAGCACGCTTGGGTCGGGCTCGAACTCGTAGGCATCAAAGGCACCCTTACGGAATCCCTTCTTATCTCGAGACGCGGGCGAAAGGTCAAGTTCACCAACACCTCGAGGTGTGAACGGCGTTCGAGGGTCAGAGAACGTCCACGCCCCGTCTGATCTTCTGTTCGCTATACGCATATTAGATCCAGGCGTGTGCACTGCGATAATTTTTCAGTACAGCCGTGGACCGCATCAACGGGGTCAGTACGCACCAAATTGTGGCGTCTCCCCACCTGGTGCTCCGAAAGGCGTTATTCGCGATGCGATATGGGAACGGTCGACGACTGTATCGCGTCTGGAGAAGATGTAGTCATCTGATCCCGAACTGGAGGATTTTGGGCGCCGGAACATGAAGAATAGTATTATGGCGATGACGATGAGGGCGATGGAGGCTAAGGTTACACCTGTGATGAGCGGCCGTTTGTCAGTGGAAGATGGGCTTGCAGAGACTGTGGCTGTTGAAGAGGAGGACGACGATGAATCCGTTGACGACATGATGGCCTTGTGCTCGGTCATTATTTGGACGAAACATAAAACAGAAATACGACGCACGTATTACTAGCCCCTAAGCACCTTGACCACAAAAACTTAATACACCCTCCAACAGCAGCACGGACGAGTAAAAGAGCCCCAGAGCACGGTTGTGCCAGTCGTGAAGAAAGCGTTTGTGAAAAGAGGGTCCTGGGAATATGAGGCCAGTCACATCAACTGATGTGTCAAAATCAAGCGCACCTGATGAGAAATGGAAAATACCAGAACTCCGGGAGATGGCAGAATGAGAGCGGGAAAGAAGGAAGGAGGCCTGGGGGAAGGAAGGAGGAAGGAGGAGGAAGGGTCCAAGGACGAAAAAGAACCATATCCGCCCACATGGTACCGCCTTGGACCTAAAAGGGAAATACCGAGACCATGTGCCTGTCACGTCGCGTCGAGAATCAAGATCCGTCGGATTTGGCCTGATTTGGTGAATATTGTCATCAGTACGGTACAGTTACACGATAACCGTTCGACCTCACGCATAAATTCTCTGGTCCCATAATCTTGAACATGAACGTTTGAACCCGTAATCGAAAATGATGTTTGGAGAATATCGAGACGTTTCTTATCAGAATTGCTGTGATGCAGTACCGCGAAGAATGCAACCATGGTTGTAGCATTAGCACCAAGGTTTTGCCAGTTGCACTTGCTAGAAAAGCCACCAGTGACTTTTGACGAGAAACGGGAGCGGAAAGACAAGTGTAGGCTATCTAAAGTGAAAAATACGGGGCGCTGATCTGTACGGGCTTCTTCATCGAAGACAAGATGACTCGATGGATCCTCTCAGAACTATCGATCCTGCTGGTCGTCAGAACGCTAACCGTACTGCACTTGAAGGGAATTAGAAAGAGCCTCATAGTCATCATTGGGGATACATAATTTCGAGACGTGTGAGGGCAGAGAGATTTTACTGTGTGGTGTTAGCTGTTATCCTTGACCTTCGCAGCATATTGGCAAAAAATGGGAAACAGGTCTCGAATCCATGCGGATGCTCTCCCTCTTTTTCACCACAAGCTATCTTCGTAGCAGTGACAAAATAGGGTATGGGAGAGCAAACTAAGGTTCATTTTTTCGTAAAGAGCACGAAGAATAAAGCCGCCTACTTTGATTCCAACGTTCCACTTTCTAGCGAGCTACCATCCTATGATAGGGTAGAGAAAACTTGTCATATAACTATCGGTCCAGTTCAAAGAGTAGGCTGAGTTTAAACGAGGTGAAGTAAATTGAGGAAAAGCTAGCCGTACCGGTTGTTTCCCAGTTAGTGGAAGGCATTCAGGGCTCATAATTTGTCATCAAGTTGCCACACAACTTGACCTCTTGCCTTCAAGCTTGACTAGACTCTACACATCACTAGAACACATGGAGAGCAGGCGGACTATACCGACATGCCTTTCCATAATATTTTCGACGAGCCACAGCTCATCCACCACCTGACTCGTGTTACCGAGACCACACAAGACGCACCCAACGACTTCGTGACGTGGATTGTCTCTCTCCTGGAGCGGAATGGAACCGACAATGCACACCAACAGCCGCAGATTCAGCTACACCAGCGCGAGCATACCCTGCACCGCAACAACCGCGCCAGTTTTGAAGCTTGGATGACTTCTCTCCTGCCAAGGAAGAGGGTCACCAACACAGACCATCACTGGCAATACGAAACCTCACGCCAGACTTTACACAAAGATCCCGTTGGGTACACGCACCAACAACTGGAGACTCTGAACCAGCTCCTTCGTCACAGCAATCCACTCAGGCTCGAAGCCTGAACGACCTCTCTCCTAGAACGGAAAAGAGTTGCTACCACAGCTACGGCAAGCTCCACGAAAGGATCTACTCAATGATCCCACAGGGTTTGAGTACTGGTTTAATTCCCTCATGTAAAAGGCCGACAGGACCCACCATCGCGACGCTGTTGGCGATGGACAGACCAATAACATATTCGCAGATATGCCATCGAGCCGCCCATCGGGGTCAACGACAGCGATGACGGATCATTCGTACCCTCCACACGAGCGCCCAACATTGCTCCACGCTCCTAGCCCCGAGATCGCCGCCAGGATCCCCAGCTAGCTCAGCCGAGTCAGCGTTCATGTTGGTGCCCACGCGCAGGCATTGTAGTCGGTAGTAGGCTTGTCAGGGCATATCTACAGTCCTGTTTTATTTCTTTCCAAAATGAGAACAACATTCCAAAACTCACCTCGAAGACGTCGCAAGCCCAAGAAAAACGGATGGTACGTCTGGCACATAAGCTTTGGTGAAATTGCATGCTCGGGTGCCTCGAGGTCGACAGGTTCTTCATCAGCAAGCGGGAGATGCCTGCTGTGGCAGTAGTGGAAAGGCGAGAGAGAACGCTGTTGCCAGTGACGAGCACCGCGATGGTGGTGGAAGGAAAGAAGCGGGAACGACGTACCGTCACGTCACAATCTATATTGATGGCCCCGTTGACCGAGTCGAGCCGGTACTTATTGTTGGGATTTTGCTGGAAAGTTCTAGAAGGAGCAATCCGGCACCATGCCGAGAGGAGTAGAAAGTTGTAGTACATTCTATATTCTAGTGCGAAGTAGTATAAATATGAGCTCTGTAGGAGCCATAGAATAACAATTTACATCTGGCTTTACCAGCCTGGGAGTCTACCCTGCGCAACACTCAGGATTCCAACACTTATCACTCGGGTATTCCTTACAAAAAGCTGCTTCTTCCTCTCCTCTAATAGGCCCTGCCTTTCCAGCTGGCACAGACTTAATCCAGAAGGAAGGTGATAGGGAACGTCTCTCAGTCCATTCTTGTTGTTTTTGTACTAAGTCAAGACACTGCAGATCCTCTTCTTTATAGCCGACATCATGTAACTGGATCACCTACAGAACTTTGGACTGCAAAGATACTCACGATGGACGATAGCTACAGCCTCGCATGCTCGTAAAATCGTTATGAATACGCTCTCCTGCTCTTCAAGCTCCTTCATTTATAACTGTAAAGTTTCTCCTGGACCTATCGATGGTGATTCCATGTTATCAGTGCCTTATGAGTACTTAATGAATATTACCGCAGACTCGTATTCTGCCTTGGACAGTGCACATCTCCGACCTTTTGTTGTCTCTTGGTATGTAGTAATAGGTTCAAGCGCTACATATATCCGCCTATTGCTATTTCAGCTCCAACTCCTGCAGACTCTGTAACAAAATAAAATAAAAACAAGATTCGAAGACGTCTCGAGCCATATCTGTAGAGGGTGCGGCATTGCTGCAGATTTCCAGATTATCTGAACCTTCACGATCCAAGCGCTGCGTGTATGAGGTCTCGCGATTCTCGAGACCGCATGGTAGCGAGACGGTTTGAACCAGGTCGTGTCTCTAACATCAGTCGCCATGCTAAGGAGTATTCAGAATATATAAATGCTAGAAACGTATTAGCTTCAACGAGAACATGCATGGTTCCAACTTAATTTCGGAATGTACCCGCTAAAAAGGGATGTCCTTGGGCCAATACTAAGCGCATAATATCGAGCATATC